GGGGGGGGGGGGCATGGGATGTCCTATCATCGACACTGGTCATCTATTGTTTATCCTCAGGAACATGGCCCCTTAGACCCTGCAAGAGGGTAGCTGAGAGTATAGGAACAGAGGGAGTGAACCCCAAAGCCTGAGAGGGACAGGTCAGGATTGTCTCCAGGGCACAGAAATTTTAGCAGAAGTCAAGACAGGTGACACGAGTTCCTGCGGTCACACAGCGAGGTATGACCAGAGATTGCATTAGAAGCCAGGCCCCCTGACAGCCCAGGCCCTCCCCACCAGCCCAGGTGCCACACGGCCTCCAGCCCGAGAGGTGAGGCATGAGACTGCAGAGGAGGCCGGGGGTTTCCAAGGATAGTTGGGGTCTTTCTCAAAGTCCTGTCTGTACCTGCCCGAGCCCTCGGGCCTGGCCCTGTGCCTGAATCTTGACAAAGCCCAGCAAGGGGGAAACCTTTGCAAATGCTTCAGATGGGCCAGTGGCCCTTTCTTTCTGCAGGAAGAACCACTGCAGCAGAAGCCATGTTGCTGTCCTCTTTGGTCCTCACTCTGGCCTTGCTGATGGCTTCCGGCACTGACTACAAGGTGAAGGAAGTCTGTATCGGAAGTCCTGGCATCCCTGGCACTCCTGGATCCCACGGCCTGCCAGGCAGAGATGGGAGAGACGGCATCAAAGGAGACCCTGGGCCTCCAGGTACTGAGTGAGAGGCCGAGCCTCAGCCGAGGGACAGTGACCTGCCTTCAGGAGGCCCACCCGTCCAGGGCTCTGGGCTGGGTGCAACGGTCGGCCGGATGGTGGGCATGGTGGGCGGTCCCTGGGGGGCCTTAGACTAGAGCAGCCCTGGAGAGTCTACCCTCAAAGTGCCCATGAGGTGACAGGTGAGTCAGCTCGGCTGATAAGGGAGGTCACTTCACATCAGCCCCAGCCCGGCTGTGGGTGGCGCATACGACAGATCAGTGTCCCCTTCCCTTTCCAGGCCCGATGGGCCCGCCTGGAGGAACACCAGCCTGCTCCGGGCCTAATGGGCTGACCGGAGCCCCTGGCGTCGCTGGAGAGCGTGGCGTACAGGGGGAGCCTGGCGAGAGAGGCCCTCCAGGTGAGCGGGCCGCATCCGCACGGGCACTGCGCCCACGTGAGCAGCTACATGCGGGAGGATGGGGATCAGACAGAACCGTGGAGGTCCCCGAAAGTCATGGCGCTCAGCCTAAGTAAGAGAAGATGAGGCCGAGGAGAGGAGCCAGAGATGCCTAAGTAGTGCGCCACAGGGAGGGACTGTGGGTGCCGAGAGCGCTCCACACATCGGGACGGGCAGGGCGTCAGGGGTGGGGTGGGGACAGCATGGGAGGCAGGGAAGGCACTTCCTAGGGCTGAGGCACGGGGGGGCATTGTGAAAGGTGTAGGGAGCTAGGTGGGGTCCAGGCAGATGAGGTGAATGGGAGCCCCCCACACAGAGCGGAACTCCAAGGCTCAGAGCGGTGACCAAGGTCAATCAGGAGGCCGCAGAAAGAGCCAGGTTTGCTTTTGGTGGAGGGTGAGGGAAGGGAGCTTGCGTCCAAACCGGAAAAATCCATAGGAGTGGGCAGACAGAGCCGTTAAAGGACAGGCAGGAAAGACGCGCAGGGAGGGGTCCAGCAGGTGCAGGGCTGCGTCAAAGGATGCAGCGCGTGTGGACCCATACTCCAGGGCCTGAGTGGTGGGTACGGACAAGCAAAGGGCAGAATGCCAGGCTTGCAGCTGGCAGCATGCCTGCTTGGCAGCTAGTGGGGGGGGGGTCTCTGTTGGCTCGCCCTCATCTTGGGTGGGAATCTCTTGACAGGGCTTCCAGCTTCTCTAGACGAGGAGCTCCAAACCACGCTCCGTGACTTGAGACATCAGATCCAGCAGGCCATGGGAGGTAAGGGGGCTCCCCAGGGCCTCTAGCACAGAGGGTCTCCCATAAGTTCCTCTGCTGCCCAGCATCAGGCTCCAGAACCTAGAGCCTTTTTTTAAGTTTATTTATTTATTTTTAGAGAGAGAGGGACAGAGAGAGGATGCATGAGCAAGCAGGGAAGAGGCAGAGAGGGAGAGAGGGAGAGAGAGAGAATCCCAAGCAGGCTCCATGCTGTCAGTGCAGAGCCCAACTCGGGGCTCGATCCCACGAACTGTGAGATCATGACCTGAGCCAAAATCAAGAGCTGGATGCTTAACAGAAGGAACCACCCAGGTGCCCCCAGACCCTAGAGACTTGACAAACAGGCATGGATATGCAGGTCTTGGGGGAAAAGAATGAAACTTTCCCTTTCCTGTTGTCTTTGAATGACTCAGAAAGCCAGAGGTAGACACAGATCAGTTCCCTATGTCAGGGGAGTGCAAGGTCTCTTCCTATGTTGCTTTCTGTCGAGCCCCAGGAAAATGCAGTTGTTAAATGCGTGGAAAATAAGTAGGTGTTAAATGGGTGAACAAATGAACGGGATGATGAGAGCATGGAGGGGAATTTGGGAAGACTGGGGTTGGTGGAGGGAGGAGAGGCAGAGAGGGCGTGAAGGCCGAGAGCCCGAGTGAGGGAAGGGACTTAGATCCAGAGCGGTCTGTGGCCTGACTCGGTTCTTCTGCTCCAGTCCTAAGTTTGCAGGAGTCCATGCTGGTAGTGGGAGAAAAGGTCTTCTCCACCAACGGGCAGTCGGTTAATTTTGATGTCATTAGAGAGTCATGTGCCAGAGCAGGTGGCCGCATTGCTGTCCCGACAAGCCCAGAAGAGAACGAAGCCATCGCCAGCATCGTGAGGAAGCACAACACTTACGCCTACCTGGGCCTGGAGGAGGGCCCCAGCCCTGGAGACTTCTGCTACCTGGATGGGGCCCCCGTGAATTACACCAACTGGTACCCAGGGGAGCCCAGGGGTGGGGGCAAAGAGAAGTGCGTGGAGATGTACACAGACGGGCAGTGGAATAACAAAAACTGCCTGCAGTACCGCCTGGCCATCTGTGAGTTTTGAGCGGGCACCCAGGCCACAGAGTAGATAGGGCCCTGCCTTGCCTTTCGGCCTCCATCCTGAAGATGCACCTGATCTCTGAGATGCTCCTTTTCAACAAAATTGTATTTGTGGCTGTCAGGGCGGGAGGCATGCTTAGCCACTCCACTCCCCCGACAGGCCCTGAATCCCTACCCACATCATGAATCAGTCTGACACTCCCCCTGAGCCCTTCCCGGTAATGCATTCTGGGCCCCACTCCTAACTTTGCCCTTTGGAAGAGACGGAGACCTCCTTCTTCCTCTTCTTGTCCAGTCCCTTCATTTCTAGATGGCAACAGTGAGGCCCCGGGATGGAAGTTCCCTCCAAAATCACACAGAAGGTGGCTGCTTCCTGGCTTCCCCTACTCTTACCTCTGCAGACTACCACCTGCCCAGCCCCATCAAGATTTAGCAGTTCTGGTCAAGCATAATGATAGAGACAGGTGGAATTCTGGGGAATTCCAAATGTGGGAGCTAAGGACCCATTTGGGATTATCCAGTCTCTGTCTCCGTGAGGTCAGAGGGCAAGGTGGTGTTGCAGCGTGGTGGAGGCCAACCTAACCCTGACGATTGGCACGGATTATCCACTTCCTTGAGTCTTGGGTTGCCTGCTCAATTCCCTGACCTAAAAGCAGCCAGTTTACACCACTAGGGAAGATCTCATCCCTGACCCCAGACATAATCCAAGCTCCTTCCTGCTGACGAACATATCCCCACACCGTTTTGGGTCTCCGTAAGTTGCTCACACCACCCACACCACGAGCTATTTATCGAGCACGTAAATAGTGTGTGTGCCGAGTCTGGTTACCCAGAAACTTGCCAAGCACTTCTAATACATCTTTTGGAGTATGATTTCATCTTTACCCAACACCATAGACCCAGCCTTATTTTCCCCATTTTTATACAAGGACACTGAAACTTAGAGAAGTTAAGTGTTTTGAGTTTTATTACTTGGGGCAAGTGGCAGAGGCTGGATTCACACCTATCTACCTGGACCTGAAGTTTATGCTCACAACCACGTCACCTCTTGCCGGACAGAGGCGATTTCCGTGTAATAAATCATGACTGCGTTAACGTGAGTTTTCATTGCTTTGGTTTCAAGAAATAACACGTTTCCGGGTGCTTGGGTGGCTCAGTCATTAAGCATCTTACTTCAGCTCGGGTCATGATCCCATGGTTGGTGACTTAGAGTCCCTCACTGGGTGTGCTCGAGCCCTTAACTGGGTGAACATGAACCCCATTTCAGGTGAGCCCTGCTTCTCTCTCTCTCCTTCCTTCTCTCTCTCTGCCCCTCACTCACCTGTGCCCTCTCTCTCTCAAAAAAAAAAAAAAGAAAGAAAGAAAGAGAGAGAGAAAGAAAGAAAGAAAGAGAACAACACATTACTGTATTTTTGCAAATCAAATGAACTCTGGTTCCAAGCCCCCACTTGCCTGAAAAATGGACCGTTGGGGTCTCAGGTAAATGCCTTCTTTGTTGGATGGGAGAGGTGACCTGCTTCCAACTGGTGCAGCTATATGTTGTACACACATATGGTACGAGCGTATGGTGAGCTACAAAAAAACACCTGGAAGAACATATGGGCATCATCATTGAGGGCTGGTGTTAAAATAATGCCTGATCTAAGTCCTCATGGTCCCTTGGTGGGTGGTAATATCATGCCTTCCATTTTCCGCTTAGCCACCTGGATGTTTTCCATAGCCCAAAGATGATGGCATTCGGGGCTCTGTCCCAGCCTCTGTGAGCCACCTCAGCCTCAGGTCTACATGAAAAGGGACCATGTCCCCGTGCTCCAGGGATATGTGGGAATCAGACTGCGTCTCTACTTGCTTGAGGGGGCAGGAGACACGTATGTGCCCCATCTCCAGAAAGGTCCCCCCTTCTCCTACCTTTACATCTTCAAATGCTCTCGCTCACTGCATCTTTTCTTGGGCAAAAGAGAGCTGTGGATCAAACCCCACCAGCCCAGGTGGAAATGAGTAGAAATATTTCTCATCTTTCTTAAATGTTAAGTTTTCATCGGGCCACCCTGCCACGTGGGCTTAGGGCCCAGCATACGAATTATTGGGGCTTCCCCAAAATTCAAAAAAGCAAAAAAGGGAAGCATATTTTTGCTATTTTATAGACGAACAATCTAAGCCTCTGGCAATTGATGTCTTCTCCTTTCTTCTTAGTGTTATTTTTATTTACTTTATGGTTTTATTTGCTATGGTTACTGTATTATTTTTTACCACTTTAAAGTAAGTATCCCTGGTTTATAAGGAAGCTATTGATTTTTTGCTGATCTTATACACAAACATCTTTTTGGATTCTCATTTTGCCCTTAATATTTTTGATATAATTATCTTATATTTTGTAAATTCTATGAATGTTGTTACAGATGACAGAAATTCTGCCTGTTCCTTATAATATTTATATGTCTTGAACATCATTTTAATCTTCTGTATGGGCCAAGAGCCCCCATACATTGTTGAAGATGCTCAATGATAAATATCTTTTTGGGGCACTAAGTGTATACGGAAAACCATTCATAATAGCATGTGTTAACTTAATCTGTTAACACTGAAAGTCATTTATTGCAGTTAAGTCATTTCCCACACCACCTGGGTACTGGCATCTAGAGCCCACAGATGAAAATAAGAGGTTTTACGTGCCTCACCATTTAAGGTTGGAGAGACATCCCAGGAATGGCACCATGGAACCTGAGAGGGCTCACCATGGGTGGTTTGGTGATTCTCCTCCTTTTGGTCAGTATAAGAAGGACTAAAGAGGGGAAAGGAGGCCGACCCACCTTGGATGCCATACCTACTTCCACAGTGGAAACTATCCCTTCCATAGGCGTGGGGAGGGGACTCTCCTAGCATCCTAATCTTAGTGAGTAGGGATGCCCAAATTGCTTCGCCTTCCCTGGAATGCGAAGGGGGAAATTTTCCTGTTCTACAATCGCTGATGTGCTGACCCGGCTGGGGCACGGGGAGGTGGAGGGGAGAACGGACCCGTGAGCAGGAGTGTTCCAGGGCAATGTGGATTGCCACCACCTGGATGGGGTTTCCCAGGGCCTGTATGAATGTCAGTGTCATGGAAGCAAGCCAGGTTTAAACTCTACTTATGAGCAGGTTGCCCCTGGGAACACGAAGAACAAGAACCTCTGAAGTGAAATATCCACTGACCTGATGTTAAGGGTAGGGAGCACACAGCTGGAGGCTCTCACAGAGTCCTTTCTTGAAGACCCAGCTTCTGAGAGGAACTGTCACTGGGAATCAGTCATACAAAGGGACCTAACAAGCAGTCAGGGGCAGGCTAAGAAGCAGCAGTGTCCCCACTGACATGTGGTTCCTCCCGCGAGTGGCTATTGCCCACCTCTGGCACCATCATTCTCTCCACCCCCTACCTGCTCAGAGAAGCAAGAGAGAAGGCCACTGCCCACCCTTCACTTCAAGAAACCCCAGCCTCAAGCCTGGCCAACACCCTCTGGCCAGCGTGGTGATGAATCACAGGTGAAATGGAGATCCCAGTGACAACACTGGAGGCCGATAATCATTTGGACTGGGTCTTAAATCAGCCCTATGGGGGCACCTAGGTTGTTCAGTTGGTTGAGCATCTGACTCTTGATTTCGGCTCAGGTCATGATCCCCAGGTCGTGGGATCAAGCCCCACATCGGGCTCCGCACTGAGTGTGGAGCCTGCTTGGGTCTCTCTCTCTCTCTCTCTCTCTCTCTCTCTCTCTCTCTCTCCCCCTCTCCCCCAAAATAAAATAAAATAAAGTAAAATAAAATAAAATAAAATAAAATAAAATAAAATAAATCAGCCCTAGAAAGTTTGCATTGCCGGCATCTGGGGGAAAAAAAGTATGAAAAATTGTAAGACCATGTGTTAGTTTTGAGAACAGGGTGAGCTTCAAGCTTCCAGATTGTACACGTCTGCATTAAGACTCTCAATCAAACTTGTTATATATTAAATTAGTGAGTTACATGGATTTGTTTTTTGATATTGAACCATCCTTCCATTCTTGGGATACACCTTACTTGGTCAAATTAGTGGCTGATACTCTAATCACACTTACTTGGTGCCAGATTCTACACTTGGGTTAACTCATGTAATCCTCATCGACCCTACTATGGAGATGCTGTTATTATCCCCAATTTACAAATAAGAATATTGGGGCACACAGAGGTTAAAGTGCTTTGCCAAAGGTCATGCGGCCAGTTCAAGGAGGACCTGGGTCATGAATACAGGAAGTCAGATTCCAGAGACTGTGCTATTAACCAGTGATGCAGGACTGGACTTTAATAGTTACTTCTGGCTTTCAGGTGGGTTTGTGTGTGCTCCACATCATCTAATTATTCTGATATTAGTGGTAGCGGGGACATATTCTTCCCATGATTGGAAAAGCCAAGAAGAGGCCGGATTCAACCTGCACGTGCATTTAAAGCACCGCTCCTTTGTGTCTGCTCACCCTCACACAGCCGAGCCAAATATCACAGGGGTTGGGATGTAGGGGACTCTACATACCCCAGTGGAGGCTCTGCAAAATACCATGGCCAAGGGCATGGATATAGAATTCTATGACACGGAGAAGTAAAATAGCAGGAACAATAATCCAAACTACCATGGTCAGATTTGCCAAGATTATTTATTGTGTTTTTGCAAAGAATCGTTTTTAAAAATTGTATTATTAGCTTCAGAGTGATTTGTTTATTCTACTTCATTGATTTCATTATTTAAATTTTTCTTTCTCTTTCCTTCCTTCCTTCCTTCTTTCCTTCCTTCCTCTTCCTCCCTCTTCCTTCCTCCTTCCTTCCTTCCTTCCTTCTTTCCTTCCTTCCTTCCTTCTTTCCTTCCTTCTTCCTTCCTTCTTCCTTCCTTCTTCCTTCCTCCTTCCTTCCTTCCCTTCCTTCCTTTCCTTCCTTTCTTTTCTTTTCTTTTCTTTTCTTTTCTTTTCTTTTCTTTTACCATTTTTTTAAAAATATCAATTCATCAGGGCACCTGGGTAGCACGGACAGTTGAACGTCCGACTCTTGATTTCAGGTCAGGTCATGATCTCATGGTTCTTGGGTTCGAGCCCCACATCGGGCCCTGTGCCGACAGTGCAGAGCCTGCTTGGGAATCTCTCTTTCTCTCTCTGTCCTTTCCTTGCTCGCTCTTTCTCTCAAAATAAATAAGTAAAACTTAAAAATAATAAAAAATGAAAAATATCAATTTATCTGTAACACAGAGTCAACAATACTTGGAGGACTAGCTTTGAGGCTTGTTGTACCAGGCAGATTTCTTTCTGCTTATTTCCTACTGTGTTGGGTGATTTTCACAAAGTGAACTCAAACTTACCTGATCTCCAGCTGAGAAAATCCTGAGGTGCCCAGGATGCACATCCCTATGGTGCACCAGGTTGTGATGAGCTGAAACTCATCTTGAAACTCAAGATGAAAAATTATGTTTCATCTTGGCCTTAATAACAAAATTCAATAATAATCATGGGGGCACCTGGGTGGTTCAGTCAGTTAAGCGTCCGACTCTTGATTTCCGCTCAGGCTGTGAGATTGGAGCCCTTGAGTGGGGCTCTGCTTAAGATTCTCTCTCTACCTCTCTCTCCGCCCCTCCCCCACTCATTCTCTTCCCCCCAAAATAAATAAACCTTAAAAAATCATCATCGTCATCATAGCAGAATAATAATAATAGCATACATTAAAACACGGACCTACAAGAGGACAGACGCAAGAATATGCATCTTCAAGGGAAGACCTTCCCCACCGGAGTTAAGGCTTTCTTATTGTCCCTCTGCTCATCCCTCCCTCCTCCAGTCGTGTTCTCTCCCCTAGTTCCCAAGCCACCGTTCCTCTAGTCTGGAGCATGTAGGGTTCTGGTTTTATGTAATTCTCTCGGTTTTAAATTCCCACCTTTCTGGGAGGTCTGCCCATTTGCTGCATGGGTCGAATAGTCTTTGTCCTCTGAGCTCGGGGCCCTTCAAAGTTGTGTCAATGGCACCAGGAAACACAGCCCTGAGAGGGGTCTTCTGTACGATGGGCCCCAGGAATCTGGGAGTACACAGAGCTGAAGACCCTTGAGAAGCCAGAACACCAATCACAAGGCAGAGTCAAGAGGAAGTGGCCCCGCCCCGACTCCTCACCAGGGAAAAAGCAAACCTCTCGAGCTGTTTGGTAAGGCTAAGTGTTTCAAAGAGTGAGTGTAAGTTTGCAGGGAGGGCGGGAATCAAAGGTCAGGTCAGGGACTTGAAAAAGGCCACTTGGTCAGGCTCGGGAGATAAGAAGCTGACGCTACTGGAAACCCAGGCACGGAGGAACCGTGGATTGGTCTGGTGCCTGCTCCTGCTCAGGGTCTCTGCTCCTCCCAGGGGACTCTCTCAGGGGACTCTTCCTGGGTGCCCAGCCCTGGGATGCGCCCTGGGAGACAAGACAGGAAGGTATCTGGAAAGTGGGCACTGACGTGAGTCGTGGCTGGAGAGCAGTCGGGCAGGCTGCTTTGAGGAGGTGATGCGGAAGGACTCGTTCATCTGTAATTGTTTATCCAGCACTCTCTCTGCTTCCAGGCACCCTTCTGGGTGGGGCCACAACAGCTGAGAACCACAGCCCCGTTCTGGAGAAGTTCTTGTTCTAAAGGAGCGCGGTGGTCAAGGAGTATACAATTAAGTAAACAAGACAGTTTTACGGGGAGAGAAATTATAGGTGGAGAATTAAACCAGGAAGACACGATAGAGTGGCCACTTAAAATTAAATGGTAAAGGAAAGCCCTTTCTCCAGAGATAGTATTTAATCTGAAATGTGGGGGCACCTGGGTGGCGCAGTCGGTTAAGCGTCCGACTTCAGCCAGGTCACGATCTCGCGGTCCGTGAGTTCGAGCCCCGCGTCAGGCTCTGGGCAGATGGCTCGGAGCCTGGAGCCTGTTTCCGATTCTGTGTCTCCTCTCTCTCTGCCCCTTCCCCGTTCATGCTCTGTCTCTCTCTGTCCCAAAAATAAATAAACTTAAAAAAAAAATTAATCTGAAATGTGAATGACAACAAACAGTCATGCAGAGGTAGAGGGAAGTGTCCTAGGCTGGAACAGCAGTGCAAGTGCCTGCATTCAACATTGAACTTGAGTGATTTACAAATACTTCCTCCCCTGTGGCTCCCTCTGTGACATGGGTGCCTCATCCAAAGATGACATTTTCTTTTCTTAAATTTTTTTTTAACGTTTATTCAGACTTGAGAGAGAGTGTGAACAGGGGGAAGGGCAGAGAGAGAGGGAGACACAGAATCCGAAGCAGAATCCAGGCTCAGGGTTGTCAGCACAGAGCCCGACGCGGGGCTCGAACTCACAAACCGTGAGATCATGACCTGAGCCGAAGCTGGACCCTTAACCGACTGAGCCACCCAGGCGCCCCCAAAGATGACATTTAAAGGGAGGCATGAGGGGCGCCTGGGTGGCGCAGTCGGTTAAGTGTCCGACTTCAGCCAGGTTAAGCGTCCGACTTCAGCCAGGTCACGATCTCGCGGTCCGTGAGTTCGAGCCCCGCGTCGGGCTCTGGGCTGATGGCTCGGAGCCTGGAGCCTGTTTCCGATTCTGTGTCTCCCTCTCTCTCTGCCCCTCCCCCGTTCATGCTCTGTCTCTCTCTGTCCCAAAAATAAATAAAAACGTTGAAAAAAAAAATTTAAAAAAAAAATAATAAAGGGAGGCATGAGGGGACTCAGTGGTTAACCACCCCCCCACCGCAGTAAAACTAACACAAATGGAAGGGTGAACTAGTCAGAGCAGCTGACACAGAGGTGTATGCTTGTTCACGCAGGTGTGTGTGTACGTGCGTGTGCGTATGCGTGAGGTCACATGCTTGGTAGAGCGTCAAACGGTGTCTCTTCTAGAAATGAATATCTGGAGGAAACTAACGGCTAGACTCTGAGTCTGGAGAGTCAGAGTGGTGGAGCTGTGGGGGTGGGCGCATGGGAGGGGGCAACGGAGGGAGGACTTTAGGGTATTAAAGTAGTGAGCTGTCCAGTGCTGAGCCTCCGACCCCACCAGCAGCCCTGGAGAGCTGCCCAGTCCACAGCGGCTCTAAGGACAGTTGTTTATTAATCTGGGGTTGAAGGCCAGTCCGGCACTGTCCCTGGTCACCAGGTTAATTGGGCCTGACGTCCCTGGGCTGGAGGACCTGCTTCCCTGCCATAGCCTCAGTGCTTTGAGGAGGCCCTAGTAAGTCATTCCTGGAGGACAGAGGTAAAGGCCCTGGGGCCAGGGGTCTGGCCACTCGACTTGATCGTGTGAGGTCCGGGCAGGGACTTTGGTGGGGGGTTCAGGTCCACTCAAGGCCTCTATCTCCAGTTGACCTGGGGCATTTGAATCCTTCCAGGGTCCACTTGACCTTCTGTGAACTAAAGGGTGGTCTTTCCAGCCAAAGAGAAGAATGGAAGTGGGGTGTGTCCGCCAGCAACATGTTTAAGCCCTGACTTTGGCCTCCAGCGTAATTAGGGGAAGTTAAAAAAAAAGAAAAAAGATAGAAAGCAGAAAGGAGGAGAAGAATGTGATCAAGAAAGTTCTCCTCCAGGGGCGCCTGGGTGGCTCAGTCGGTTAAGCGTCCGACTTCAGCTCAGGCCATGATCTCACCCTCCGTGAGTTCGAGCCCCACGTCAGGCTTTGTGCTGATGGCTCAGAGCCTGGAGCCTGCTTTGGGTTCTGTGTCTCCCTCTCTCTTCTGCCCTTCCCCTGCTCATGCTCTGTTTCTCTCTGTCTCAAAAATAAATAAAAACATTAAAAAATTTTAAAAAGAAAAAAAAGTTCTCCTCCAACTTATTACTTCTCACTGAGTCCTGGAGGAAGGGAAGGGTTAAGGCAGCTGACAGGCCAGGGAAGGCAAGGGCAGATTCAGGAGTTAGGGAGCAAGGCCCGGGGACACTGGGATTAGAGCCTCGAGAGGCCCAGCGGCTGCCAAGGTTTCCCGGAAAGGGGGCCAGCTTGAGCAAAAGCTGGATGAGAATCTGGCTGTGGGATCAGGGCACAGAGCTGGGGAGGCATCTGGGCAGCATGCAGAGGACCCTGACAGGAGAAGGAACAGACCTGACAGCATGCCAGCTCCAGGGTGAACAGAAATTTTAGGAGCCTGGGTTCTGGCTGGCAAACGTGACCTCTCAGTGGAAAACCTCAAGCCAAGGGAAGGAGAAAATCCATCTCATCTGGCCAGGATCGAGGACCAAAAGAGGTTCTGTTCTGAGGGTCAGAACCCTGCCTCAGGGCACTCTGGGTCCTGAGCCCCCACCAAGTGCCTGTCACAAAAGAGACACTTGCTACAAGATGATTGACAAGCTGTGGGGGAAACAGCTGTACACGATCCTGAGGGCGGATGGGGCCTGGAGTGAAAGACGGACTTTTTACATGAAATGAGAGAACGGATGTCATAAACCGGGTCCTGCCTCATGTCATCTGCTAGAGTTTGTCTAACTTTAGGGCCCATGGGAAGGGGAAGAAGAGGGAAACTGAGGTTCCCTTGGCCCTCAAGACTCCTCAAGGGAGTCAAGAAAGAGAGTCAAAGCTCACACAGGCGATCAGCTCTCTGCCTTTGCCAGGCCACTGGGAGCGGGGCTAATTTGTGATTTCCAGATCCCGTGGGCCCTCATGCACAGGGTGGCCTAAGCTACCCAGGCTTGAACCCACAGGGGCACTGGAGCCCCAGGGAGAATGGGCCCCTGTTGTGTTACTCTTGTGTATATGACTCTGTTACATTACCTTTGTTTTAGCACCTCTACGACTTTTTACTTGTGTGTTTCCCCTGTGGTGTGAGAGTAACTCAGAGCCGAGGGCTATAATAGTCCCCTCTGGGTCTGCTGCCCCCAACACAGGGTCCAGCGCACCAGAGGTGATAGCAAAGGTTGACTGAACAAGATGAGACAGAATTATTTTCCTTGACTTTCTCCACTCTAAGGTGAGGACCATGTTCCTGTCTTCATCACTTCCTGTCCTCCTTCTGTGCATGCTGACAGCATCCAGCTCAGAAATAAAAATCTCCGAGGATGCCCTGAAGACCTGCTCAGCGATCGCCTGTGGCATCCCAGGCAGAGATGGACGAGATGGACCCAAGGGAGAAAAGGGGGAACCAGGTACAGGACAGGCTGCTTAAATCTTTACCCCCAACACCAGACTGTTCCCCGTAAGGGACCCAGCGGAGACAGGACGAGGCTCACCTGTCATCGTGCTGGGCAGTGACTCACTCAGAATCATTCCTGTGAAAGGTCATTCTCTCCAAAGCAAAGATGCTTCTCTGGTTCTCTAGGATTCCACGTTTCCACCCCAGAATCCGTGATGCATGGTTATTTGCAGACAGCAGGTGTCCTGCCTGTTCAAGGAGCTGGCCCGGAGGACAGGCTGTCCCCTGGAATGCAGGAAGATCTTTTTTCTTGGGTCACCACTGGTTCACTGGAGGTTTTCTGGGGTCATTGTAAATCGAACTGAACTTCTGGAAAAAGGGAATGAGCCACAGCCCCTGGATCACTTTTCTTTCCTCTTACAACAGGGCAGGGGCTCAGAGGCTTGCAGGGCCCTCCGGGGAAAATGGGGCCTCCAGGAAACACAGGGCCTCCTGGGGCTCCAGGAATAAAGGGCACCAAAGGAGACCGTGGAGACAATTCAGGTAAGGAGCTCACCCCAGCACAGTGGGCCTAGGGAACCCCAGACCCTGGGGACTCCTGGGCCAGGTGGGAGGTGGCTCTTTTCCTGCTGCCCCATCGGAAGACGCTCGACTCCTGCCCATCCAGCACACGCATTTCTGTGAACGTGCTGCCTGAGTGCAGCCTTCCCAATCCTGCCAGGTCACCCCCCCACCCCAACCCCAGGCCTCTGTGGGACACGGGCCTGCCTCTTCCTCAGCGGATGTAGTCTGCAAGCAGCTCCAGGCTGAGAGGCAGGAACGATGTCCTCTCGAGAGTGGGGTTTATGTCTATCGTCAAAAGCGTGGTGTGGAAATGGTGGGTATCCTAGGACCCCTGAATCCCGGGGAATGTCGTGGCAACCCCCGTTCAGGGTAAAATGAAGTAAATTCGGTAACAGCAAAAGTAAAATGATGACCTCTTGTTAATATCTGCCAGCTGGCCCATCAAAATTATAAAAGTATTAAGAGGTTTTCCTAGGGGCATCTGGGTAGCTCAGTCGGTTAAGTGTAGGACTTTGGCTCGGGTCACGATCTCACGGTTTGTGGGTTCGGGCCCCGCATCGGGCTCTGTGCTAACAGCTCAGAGCCTGGAACCTGCTTCGGATTCTGTGTCTCCCTCTGTCTCTGCCCCTCCCCCACTCATGCTCTGTCTCTCTCTCTCTCTCTCTCAGAAATAAACATTTTAAAAAATTAAAAAAAAAAGAAGTTTGCCTAGAATAAGAAATGAAAGAGAATGATGAAGAAAAAGTTATCAAAAAGGAGAATAACGAGTTGGGCTTTTTCTTGTAAATAACGATAATACTGCAACATTTTAAGCAATATGTGAACAACAGGATCCAGAGCCATAATAATTTACAAGGTTTTTTAAATGTCTATTTATTTTTGAGAGACAGAGTATAAGTGGTGGAGGGGCAGAGAGTGAGAGAGATACAAAATCTGAAGCAAGCTCCAGGCTCCGAGCTGTCAGCACGGAGCCCAACGCGGGGCTCGAACCCACGAGCCATGAGATCATGACCTGGGCCAAAGTCAGATGGCTTAACCAACTGAGCCACCCAGGCGCCCCTACAAGTTTTGATTATTATTATTATCGTCACTATTATTATTATTACTATTGTTAGTTCTGAGTCACAGTTTACAAGAGCTACTAAGTATATCTCAGAAGGCAGGAATGCAGGGGTTTTTTGCTTCTTTTTGTTTTCTTATTTTTTAGAATAAGCATACTCTTCAGTAAGCTTTCTCCTCCCCCACTCCGCTTTGGCAAAATACTCTCCTCTCCAATTTAGGGTTCCTCTTCCTAATAAATACCCTTCTCCCTATTGCTTTGTAGTTGTGGAGACTAAGCTGGCTAACCTGGAGGCAGAGATGAGGAGACTGAAATCGGAACTGGACCATGTCAAAAAGTGTAAGCTTGTTTTCTGGCCCCAGTGTGTTCTTGGCTGTCACCTTTTTCTTCAGAGTGCCCTAGGTTTCGGGGAGGGTAGACGAGAGCTACCATTTAAAAAAAAAATTTTTTTTAATGTTTTTATTTATATTTGAGAGAGAGATAGAGAGAGAGAAAAAGAGCTTGAGCAGGGGAGGGGCAGAGAGAGAGAGAGGGAGACACAGAATCTGAAGCAGGCTCCAGGATCCGAGCTGGCATCCCAGAGCCTGATACGGGGCTCGAACCCACAAACCATGACATCATGACCTGAGCTGAAGTTGGACAATTAACTGACTGAGCCACCCAGGCGCCCGAAAGCTAACATTTATGAACACTTATCACACACCGCGGCCTGCGCTAGGTTAGCATTATCTCGTAATATGGTTTCATTCAATCCTCCCAGTGGCCCTATTTGTGCATATTATACCCATTCTGTTTACAGGCGAGGAACAATAGGTCCGGGAAGTGTAGGTAATTCACTCGCTGTCACACAGCTAGGAAGTAACAGAGGAAGGATTGCACGTGAAGGTCTGCGCCTCCAGAATCCTGGCTCTTTGTCCAGCAATCCCTGGTCTCAGATGGCAGTCCATCCACGTCTGGTGCCCGAGCCTGGCAGGGTGGCCCAAACACCCTTCCCTATGTCCCCTGTACTGGGATGGTTTATACAGACGTTCCTCTCGAGGGCGGGATGTCCCAGGAGAGTGCAAGCTTTCTGCTGGGGGCTTGCTCTGCCGCTGAGGAGTGCTCCCTTACTAGGATCTGACTCCATGGTTGAACACGGGACTATTTCTCTGAGTCCTGAGTTCCCAGAGAAGGGCTTTTCACCTAGTTTCCTGGGCCGAGCTCCAAGCCCAGTCAACCTATCCCTTCCACTGTGATTTCAGTGCAAGCCTTCTCCTTGGGCAAAACACCTGGGAAGAAGTTCTACGTGACCAACGGTGAAAGAATGCCTTTTTTCAAAGTGAAGGCCCAGTGCGCCGAGCTCCAGGGCACCGTGGCCACGCCGAAGAACGCTGAGGAGAATAAAGCCATCCAGGATATGGCCGGCAGCCCTGCCTTCTTGGGCATCACGGACGAAGTGACTGAAGGCCGGTTTATGTACGTGACGGGAGGGAGGCTTGCCTACAGCAACTGGAAGAGGGATGAGCCTAACGACCACGGCTCAGGGGAGGATTGTGTGATCCTCCTCCAGGACGGGCTCTGGAATGACATTTCCTGCTCTTCCTCCTTCCTGGCCGTCTGTGAATTCCCAGCCTGAGGAGGAGGTCGCCTCCTTGGCTTCCCACTGAGCTCTCTGCTGCTCCGAAAGAGAATTCATGGCCCATTTCCCCACTGCACACCACGGTGTTGACGCATTCCTTCAGGGGGACGGAGGGAAATAAAGGGATGTGCTTATGGGGATGAGGAAGTGACAAGAAGTTGACAGCCGGGCTCGAGGGTTTCTGGTCCAGTCTGTAGTGAAGGACACCCTCTGTCCTGCCTAAGAGCACAGCATCGGGTCAGAGTCAGCCATGGAAAGGGCCAAATCACACCCTTCCTTCTGCAGTGAGGACACCGCAGCCTCCCAGGGAGGCCAGTGGAGGCCAGTCTGCATCAGAGCAGTAGACCTCAGCCTCCGGGAGACCCAGCTCCTTCTCCCCCACATGTTGCCACTATGGCATGTTGCCAAGCTCTCCTGCCCTACGTGCCTTCCCATGGCTAGGCCAGCCCCGTCTGACGTGGGTGCTGTTTTTATTTTTATTTTTTAATGTTTATTTATTTTTGAGAGAGAGAGAGAGAGAGGCAGAGAGAGAGGGAGACACAGAATCCGAAGCAGGCTCCAGGTTCTGAGGTGTCAGCACAGAGCCCGATGTGGGGCTCGAACCCACGAACCGCGAAATCATGACCTGAGCTGAAGTCGGATGCTCAACCGACTGAACCACCCAGGTGCCCCAGGTGCTGTTTTTAGTTGTCCGTGAGTTGCACCAGGAAATCTTTCACCACCAGAGTGTAATGTCCGGCGGTGTCCCACATCGGTAACAAGGATTAGACCAGGAGTCCCTTCACCCTGCCCAACCGGCCGTGGCCTCCCTATCATCACTAGGGTGATCTTGAGGACAAAGGGAAGCCTTCCCTCCCTGCATACTTTTAGGACAATGATTTGACATTGTGACGTATGCCAGCATCACGGAGGAGGCGATGGCCAGGCAGGCTGTGTCCCTCTCCACAGGGCAGGTCTCAATCCCTTCATGTTCAGCACCCCCTTCCTTCTGTGACATCCTCGCCTTAACATGGGTCCACACTATCCATTATTATGGAGACAAGAGGAAAACTCCCCAAAGGTGAGTTTCACACCCTGTCAAACTATGCAGTGTCATCCAGATCACGGGTGCCACCCTGTCGGATTATGCAGAGGCACCCAGTCAGCAAGTAAAACCTCCCTCCGAGCAGGGTTCTGTTGCCCTGTTGGCCAGCAACGCTGCTCATGACCAGGACTGGTTTCCAGCAACCTCGGGGTAGGTGGAGCTGAGGTTATATGGAGCCCATGCAGCAAACTGGGGAAGAAAAGCGAATTCCAGCTTCAATGTATGCCATTCACAAAATGAGAGCAGAAAATATTTCACGAATGGACCAAGGGCCACTTTAACCTACTGAAATATTTATGTAAAAATGAGTTTTCTTTGTATCTGAATTGCCAAGAGAGAGCACCTCATATTTAGTAAGTGTTGGATGAGTATTTGTTGAACGGGTACAGCAAAGAATTACCAAATAGATGAGAGGATTGGACACTGAGAAGTGAATAGAGGGTAGGGTTCTCTCCCAAGCGAGTAGGACCATCGGGGGGGGGGGTGGATCGCTGGGAGGGGACATACTGCCTCATCGCCACTGGCAGGGGGAGGGTGGCAGGACCTGGGTCCTTGCCTCTAAGGATTAGCTCTTCACTGAATTTTTAGTAAGGCGCTTCTTCAGACACTGTACCTGGGGGCACCGAGAAGAATATTCTCGTGGTGTAGAGCAGACCAGGTCTCTATTTTCAGTGAAAACCCACACTGCTTACCAAAAGAATGGGGAGTGCTTACAGTTTAGAGGCACATGTGGAACCACAGGTATGGCAAATAGAAAAAGGAAAGACCAGAAACTTTTGAGAAAGAAAGAAGATACGCATAGAACAGCTCCAAACAAGAGAATTCCCATCAGCAGGCATGAAAGTCACACCCGGATTTTCTCATGGCTGAGACAAAAATGAGAAAACGGACAGGTAACCATTAGGTAATTCCTTCTATTTTACGTAGGGGGGTGGGGATCGTGTCTACCCTTTGTTTACACTGTGCATAAAGGCCAGCGGTGTCCAGCTGGAAAGTGGTAGAAGGTATAGTCATGTACTTCACATGGATTGTTCCCCAGGGTCTACTGATTGCCTCCTTAGTTCAGGGAAAGGCAATAAAAATCTACAGGACAAGCTCAGATTCTTCCATCCCGTTTAGGATTCTTCCTCGCTTGTTCTTCCCTGATCTAGAAACTGATCGTCTCTTCAGAGCTCCTCTCTAAAGGTAACCCTTTGCTGCCCTACTTCCCTTGATCTAGAACTGAGGCCCCAGCTCCCTGTACCTCATCAGCTGGCAGTGGGGTGCCGTGCAAGTTAGCTCAGAGGAGTTGGAGTTGATCTAAAGATACAGGATTCTCAGGGCACCTGGGTGGCTCAGTCGGTTGAACGTCCAACTTTGGCTCAGGTCATGATCTCACAGTTCGTCAGTTCGAGCCCCTGGTCAGGCCCTCTGCTGTCAGCACAGCGCCTGATTCTCGGATCCTCTGTTCCCCTCTCTCTCTGCCTCTCTCCTTCAAAAAGATATAAACGTTTAAACACTGGTAAAAAAAAAAAAAAAAAAAAAAAAAAAAAAAAAAAAAAAAAAAAAGGATCTAGGATTCTCATGAGAGTCCAAAGATAGAAACCGCAATTCTCCAGGCTTCCCAGGACCTGGAACAAGAGGGAAATTATGGATTTGTGGTGACACGCCAGACAGTCTCTCTCATTCAAGGGCTGAGGACAGGCAGTCTCCTTTACTAAGGAGCATGCAGTCGTTGATCTCTCTCACACGAGGGACAGAATGAACCGAGGCGCTCCAAGGACAGACCTTACAGGCTTCAGGCAGCACGTTTCTCTCGAGCCCTGTTGTCGGTTCTGATGTCTGTTCTCTGCCATCGCGTTTCCCAGGCTGGTTTTTTTTGGACCAGGGAACTGGGAGACTTCTCCAAGCTGCAATCTTCCTTTGCTGACTCATGCCAGGAGCACAAACCTGAAGGTCATACATCAGAGTGTTCCTGGAAACGAAGCTGGTGTTCACACCTCTGGGGAGCCGGGGCCCTGACCCCGGGGTCACGCCTGGGGGAAGAAAGAGGACTGACTCTCTGTGTGCCCTGTTAGGGCTAAAGGAGAGGCGCTTGGTGGGTGGGAGGTTCAGGATTTGGAACCGGGAGCTTGCGGTTTGAGGTCAGCTCCCTGACTAATGCATCGAGTGGCCCTCAGTCTTCCTATCTGTAAATTGGTCTGTAATGGCTTCTTCCCTGGAAAGTTGGATGAATCAAAGGTTACACAGAGGTTCAGATCTGCAGGGCCTATTTTGAGCTCAAAGCCGTAGGGCCTGAGAACTGTTTTCAGCTTTTGCTACCTGTCAATCAATTTTGTCCAAAGGAATTGTAGCCTAAACACTTACCACCCATCTCTCAAGTCCATTGAAAGCCAGTCTGAGTAAGTTAGAAGGACAAATACACCTTGCTTTCAGGACGGGAATTTTGAATTTAAATTACATCTGTAAGTCAATGGTCTCCTGTGGAAGACTGGACACAACCAACGTAACTGTGACTTGTTTCCTGGGCCAGAATGAAAACAACTACAAAAGTTCACAACATTCAAGGCCCAGGCTTCGGCCTGAGTTCCAGATCCAGGAATTGCAGGGCCTGTAGGACAGTCCTTCTTCAGAGTCCTACCGCTCTGCTGTTCTCACTTTTAGCCACGCCCAAGCCAAAGCTGGGGACTTGGGGTACCAGCCGAAGACCAGGCTTTCACATTCGTCAAATCCCCTTCCTGCCTGGGACCAGCCTGCCTCCCTTCTCTGTGGCTGTCAGAGATCGACCAGCACCAGGGGTCAGTCAGACCACATGTCACGGAGACAGCCTCTGACCTGGAAGGTTATTTGCTCATGATTGTGTAACTGATCTGTGGTTTGGAGCCTGCCGGGAATCGGGGCTTTTTTTTTTTGTTTTTTTGTTTTTCCTTTTTCTCATTAACCAGGAAGGATTGAATGTCACTGTGGGGCCTGACCTGGAGATGTTGGGAAGTGGATTTTGCAAAGCGATGCTGTCCTGTGACCCTGAGTGGCTGGTGAAGTGCTGGAAAGGTAGGAGGAGCTCCGGGCAAGGAGTTTGGGAAGGAGGGCTCCCCACCCCGGTAGCAGCCTATGTGGGGGAGGAGACAGTGTCCCCAACTGTGGAACAGTGCTTTATCCAGCCAAACACAGGGGTCGTGCTCTAAAGAAGTGGGATGCAAGTAGCCATTTATTTGCTAAACCCATGCCTTGGGCTAGGCTGGCCAGCGCCAACCCAAGGTCCAGCGTGCCCTGTCCTGCAAGACAGAGTGTTCGTGCCACTTCGTGCAGCTTTTCAGGGTAGTGACCAGCGGAACTGCCTGGAATGCTTGACAAAATCATGGGATCTCAGCTCCACTCTGGATCCAGTGAATCAAAGTTCCAGACATCTGTCATTTTCTCAAGATCCCTAGGTGATCTGCATGAAACTCACTGGCCCAAGAAGTATCATCACTACAGCGCTTTCTGCCTGTACCTCAACTTTGCACGGAGGCCTGGAGCCAGGAAGCCAGGGATTCTCCATTCCTTGCAGGCCCTTCATGAAGTGACAGATGTCCTGCTTAATTGCATATTGTCAGAGTCCAAATAATCTCCTTCAGTGATCGATGCCCCACTAGTGAAAAGCAACTTCTGACCCCAATCCTTCCCTATGCATTTCCAGGGTCTCACTTTCCAGGGTGTGACTTTAGGGCGTGGGTCTGGGCCTGGAACAGCTCTAGGGAGCTCAGAGAAGGCGAGGCACTGGGCAGGTGAGACTCTGAATGGGGAATTGTGTGCACATGGATTTGGGGGTATTTATACGTATTTTTGTGCCTGTGCGAGTGTGTCAATATCAAATAGAAGCCAACAGACCCAGTCCTTGAAAGACCCAGCATCCAGCTGTTAGGGGGCTCCCCCCAGCCTGCGTCCAGGCCTC